TGTGTGAGGCACTAGGTTCAATTCTCAGCACCACATATAAATAAGTAAATTAAATAAAGGTCCATGAAAAAAATATATATATATATTCCCATTCCAGAGAGAATTAGATGAGAATAAGAATAGCAGATGCTAGAGTATTTCAGGCAGCAAGAATGCAGGTCATTGTCTCTGAAGGATGGTCAGCACAAGAAATGGTTTTCCTTTCCTCTCTCTTACTTGATGGGTAGACAGCTGCTGTAAGACTCTCAATATCCTTTGCCTCCCCAGGCTCCTTCACTTAGGTGTGCAAGCAGGGGATTGATCTTGGTTGCCCACCCATCTCTTTCCTCTCCCACTGCTTTCTCCCTTACCTTGGAATTCTATAACAAGAAATGCAAAGCAAACTGTTAGCTAGAAAGCAACCTTGTCCCTTCCTGAGAAATTCGTCTATTCCTAAGATTATGTGGAGGATCTCAATTCTTAAGATTCTAAAGAAAGAACTAAAATTTTGGAATGTGTGCATTTTTGAGAAATGGTTCCTGAGCAGTACCCAGTCAAATCACACTGTGTGGACAGCCTGCCCTCCCTCCACCTGAAAATGCACTCACCTTTGCTCTGTTAGGTAATGTAAATATTCAGTTGCCTCTCCATATCTAGGCTGAATGTTTATGTTCTCTTGTCTTTATGGCCTTGACATGCCTGGCCACATCACGAAGGGTCTGTATTACAATGTAAACTCCAGTAAAGTGTTTGTATTTGCTAATCTTTGTACAATTCTCACAAAAAAGTAGTTAATAAGGATTTATATTTTTTAAATCATGGCAAAATGCAGCATAAAATTTACCACTATAACACTTTAAGTATAAAGCTCAGTAGTGTTAAATACATTTACATTATTGTGCAACCAATTTCCAAAACTTTTCATCTTGCAAAAAATGAACCTTTCTACCTATTATACAGTAACTCCCCATTCCTTCCTTCTCTCAGTCTCTGGTAAACCCCATTTTACTTTCTTTCTTTATGAATTTAATGACTTATGGGTACCTCATATAAATGGAATCATATGGTATTTGTCTTTTTTTGTGACTAGCTTATTTCACTTACCATAATGACTTCCAGATTCATCCATGCTACAGCATATTTAGAATTTCCTTCCTTTTAAAGGCTGAATAATATTCTGTTGTATGTATATGTCATATTTTGTTTACCCATTCATCTGCTGAAGGACATTTAGGTTGCTTATACCTCTTCACTATTGTGAATAATGCTGCTATGAACATTGGGGTATAATTATCTGCTTAAGTTTATTCTTCCAATTCTCTTGAGTGTATACCATGGAGTGAAATCTCTGGATCATGTTAATTCTGTTTTTACTAATTTAATAATAATATTTTTACAATGAGACTGAGAATGAGAAACATAAACTAGATGCATTATCATATTAGAATCTATAGCGTATCTCCCATGAGCTTAGTGCTATGTCTGATAGGAGCTGGGACTTTATAGGTATTTCTTTTGTTTCACTGTTGGGGTGGGAACTTTGGTATATTTCTCTTCCTTATTGTGGAATGCCCAGACTATAGGATAGTTCATTCATTCCTTTGTTCAGCAAATTCTCATTGAGTACCTAATGTATATCAGGTACAAAATGATTATGAAAATGGTAAAGAAAATCAGTTCAGAAAGCAATACTTTCTGTCTGCTTGGCCAAAGGGGAGAGTTAATGAAAAGGGGCAAAAGGGTATTTCCCAATCACTTTTTGCACCATTGGCTAAGCATTGGTGGCCCCTTTACTTGCAAAGGGGAATGGGGTGAATTTTGGACTGAAAGAGAGCAGTTCAGCTAGAAGAGATCCATGGAGGCAGAAGCCCCAAGGAATCTTGGATGGAAATTGTCCATTCACTAATACTGAAAGTCATGTGTTTTTTTTCTTTTTAATCACGAAGAAGGTAGAAAGTAGTGTCTGAATATCCAAATCAACTGCTTATCTTAACAGTCCACATTCAAATCTTGCCTGAAAAGAAAATGTTTTCACTTTTGCCTGAAACCTGAGTGAGTAGGTGGAGAGCCACTATTGCCCAGGCAGCACCTTCAAATTAGGGGACTCCAGAAGCTAATGTAAATATTACTGGTATGTAGTCAATCCCACTTAATTCAACTCAGTGGTATTTACAGAACATTGTCAGGATTCTCTGGAGTTCACAAAATGGTGCAATCATTTAACAATGCCCATTTAAGCCCCCCTTTTAAAATTAGCATGAGCTATGCTATAGGGGAAATTTCTCATCTTAGGGGGCTGGCAGGAAACTATCTAGGTTTCCCTCTAGTTAAGCCCTCAAAGATATTTTTCAGTCCCATGCTGGCTTCCAATATGCTACATTTCCTTTCCTTCTGTGAGATTTTTTTCCCTGTCTTTCTACTTTAAAAACATGACTGCCATTCCATTTCTTAGGGTCCTTTTCACCTTTAAACTAGCCTATATGGTAGGAAGTAATCTCTCCAGCTAATCTCTTGCCATCCCCCCAGACAACTTTGATACCATAAAGAGATAACAAAGGCATAAATATGGAGAACAAACATTTCACTGAAGTTCTTGTAATCAATGTCTTTGCTTCTTTTCCTTGAAGGTACCCAGAAGCCCCAGAGGTTTCCTGCTTTCTTTTATCTGTGAGGGTGGCACTCCTTATTGCTTCTAGGATAAGGCTACACTAATTAGCCTAGCATTCAAGGCCCTCTATAAGCAGACTAAGGTCTACCACTCCATTATTATCTCCCACTCGTTTTCCAGTCTACACAAACTGTCTGCTCCCGTCAAATGGTCTACTAATTGTTTCCCCCCCCAAAAAAACTATTTTCATTCCCATTTCCTGGTCTTTGTTCACATTAATTCCCTCAAGCTCTCTACCCTTTCTTCAGTGCTCTGAGTCTTACCTTTTGTGACCACCCGGGCCCTTGGAGCAGAATTGCTCCCTCCTAGGAATTCCAATAATCCTTCTAGTCTGCAGCCACTTCTCCGGATTTAACACATGAGAGTACATGTGTGTACGTGTGTGCCTAAAAGCAGGTGCTTCTTTATGTCTCCAGGGCTAATGTGGTACCATGCACTCAGTAGGTACTCAACACACATTTATTTTTCATGATGATGTCATGTTCATGAAACTGTTCTTTCTTTTCCTAAGTAATGTTTACTAATGTGAATGAAGTGTTGCTGAGACTTGCTCATGTTTTTAGAAAGATGAGGATGGTGATGACTCAGTGGTAAGATCTTTTGGCAGAGAATTTTTCTTGAAAATACTGTGCTATCCTAGCAACACACGTGAAACAAGGGGAAATAGCCAGGACAGGCCTAAAATTAAAGTAGAAGAGATTTTGGGATTTTAGTAGGCAGGATTCTCTCTGTCTCTATCTCTTTTCCCTGCTTCCCTCCTTCCTTCCCTCCCTTCTTTTCTTCCTTCCTTCTTTCCTTCTTCTGTCAAGGTGATTAACAGTAGAACCAGTTACAGAGGGAGACTATTGAAAAAATTTGGAGAGGTTGCCAATTTATTCTTCATTCATTCAAAGGAAAACTGAGAGGCAAAGTAAAGGGAGGGGGGGCAAAGTTCAAGTATGGGGGATTTGGAAATTATCCATACAAAACAGAGGAAGGTGGATAAAACATTTTCTCTTTTTCTTTCTTTCTTTTCTTGCACTTTTTGGTCTCTCAAGTCTCTATGGCTTCCCCAGCAAGATGAAGAGCCCTGTGGTGGGCGGGGATCCTTCTCCACAGTGTTGTGGAGCCATCAAGCAGGCCAATAAAATAAAAGGCTGCAGATGTTTTTCTCTGTGAAAAGGGGATTGGAACAGTTACTGAGTAACTGTTTTTCTGTTAATGTTGATATATCTTCAGTCATAGAAAATGACCACAACCAGACTGACAGCTTTAGCTCTAATATGGTTTACTTAAAGGAATGCTGGGGTGCGGGGTGGGGAAGGATCTGTTATCTCATCAGTTGCTGCGAAAAGATAGACTCACACAAGTGACAGAACAGGAGGGAGGTAAAAGAATAAAATTAAGTAGTGTAAAAGTCACCAAAGGCAAAAAAAAAAAAGTACAGAAATCAAAATGTTAGACACAAACTTTGAAGGAAGCAAGTACGGAAATGTTTCTGTAATATAGATCTTAGGGAAATGTGTAGACAATGTGACATAAAATACTTCAGTCCCAGAAACATCTAATCTTGAACTGTTCATTTATGAAATAATTTTAAGAGTCAGGCATGGTGGTACTTGCCTGTGGTTCCAGTTACTCCGGAGGCCAGGGCCAGAGGACCACTTGACCCCTTGAGTTTAAAATCAACCTGGGCAACAAGGAAGTCCTAAAAAAATCAGTTTAACAAGTTTTAAAAAATTATGTTATACATTTAATACCAGGGATCTGTATTTTAAGTAAGTTCTTCTGCTGATTCTTAAGATCCAGCAAGCTTGGAAAGTTTTCTCCTGTGATGTAGTAGCAGGAATTTTTTCAGAGTGCAGAAACAGCACTGAATGTTTAGATTCACAAGACAATTAATGAAAAAGAAAGAAGAGGATGGGGGTGGGGTAAAAGATTGAAATTTTGAATTTGTAATAAATAATTGTATTTATTTTTGGTCCTCTTGCTCCTAAAATGATTTAAGGTAGCATAGTTGAAAAATAAATAACAAAAGTATATTGAATGTTTACTGTCAACTTAGTACTATATATATATTTTTCTCATTTAACAAGACAATTGCATGAGGTGGGAACTACTGTTCTTATCTCCACTTTACAGATGTGGAAATTGAGACTCAGAGAGGTTAAGCTAAGAAAGGGAGCCAACTGAGGGTCTCTGCTCTTGTTCTCTATATTGTTATCAAACACCAAAGGAAACCAAGAAACCCAGAAACATCCAAAACAAAATGTAAAATTAAAGGGAAGAAACTGAGATGAAGGGGCAATGAAGAAGAAAAACGGGCAAAGCTGGAGTGAGGTCATATGCATCCATTAGAAGTGGGCCCCATTGCTTGCTTCGACACACAGCACATATAATAAAATTGGAACAACATAGAGAAGATTGAATGGCCCCTGTGCAACAATAACACACGAATTCATGAGGCAATCCATATTTCTGCTAAGTGCAAACAAATCTATGAATGTATATTATTTTACAAAAAGAAGTGCGGGGCTGAGGATGTAGCTCAGCGGGGTAGAATGCCAGCCTAACACGCATGAGGCTCTGGGTTCCATCCCCAGTACCACACACATTTTTTTAAAAAATAAAGTTTTAAAAAGAAGTGGGCCACAAATTTGGCTCTGAGCTTTCCAACAACCAAAGAAAAAAGAGTAAACATGTCTGGATTCGTCGCATCCATAAGATAAAAGCAAATGTGCATTTTTGGAGAAAAACAATTTATGCTAGAATTTCCTAAGACAGATGTCCCCTTGTGAATCTTCAAAAAAAGGGGGGGAGAAATGCTTCTACAGAAAGGATTTTCAAAGGACTTAATTTTGTATTATTTTCTTTTTAAAACTGAGAAAGCAAATGTTTAATAAAGGAAATGATTTGAATATGGATTATAATATTATTCCCTCATAAATATGTTTTATAGTTCACACTTTTTATAATCAAATAACTAGATGTGAAGTTTCTGTCCTTGGAGATCTTAAAGAAAAGAATGACTATTTCTCGGGCTTGGATGCCTGAAGGCAAGGACGGGCTTAAGGGGGCCCCTTCCAACTCCGGGGCTGAGATTCTATACTTCTATAGCTGTGCAAACACTTCTACCTGGGGCAGCTTAACTAGTCTTAAACCTAAAGGTTCAGCCACAGCATGGCCATGAATGCTTCCATTGTGGGAATCCTTTTTTATAAAATAAATGTTTGAAAAATACACACACATGCACAATAAAACAAAACCTCCACAATATTTGGGATTAAGACACACCCAAGTAAGACATTTGCAGAAACAAAAGTTGTACTTAGTAAATGCTTGTCACTGGGGATGGAGAGTCAGCACTTAGGCACCACTCATTTAGCTATGGAGCGTTTGCTCAAGTCCTTTGTGTCTTAGATGTCAAAGAAATCTTTTCTAAGGGAGCCATCAGCACCACCTCAGGGGTGATGTTTTAAGCCTAATGTGAAAAAGAGAGCTTCTCTAAAACTTCTTATATGATTAACATGGTTGAATGCCCTTTATGACAAAGCATGCCGTGTGCAAATAAAATTCTCTTCAGGAAGAGGTCCCCCCCTTTTGTTTTTTTCTTAAATAATTTCTTACCAATGCAACTAAGAAAATAGCCTTTACGTTTTTGGGGGGTGGGAGAAAGAGGCTGACGGACATATAGCTGTGCAATTTTGACTGATCCAACTGATTATGAATTGGGTCAATCTGGCTTCCTTGCTGTGTGTCCTGAGACTGAGATCCATAAAAAGTGAACATCAAGTTAACATCCCTGTGTGTGTTTGGGAATGTTAGGTGGCGATGGCTAATACAAGCACTGGCATGTCCAGGAAGAAGTCACACGGGAGGTTTCTCTAAGAAAGAATAGAGGTGCTTGTCTCTACAAAGAGGGACATAGTTATGCCCCTGTCAAGTGAAAGACTTCATCCTTACAACAGAAGGTGTCACCCTCTGGAGTGCTTGATGGACTGCTACTCTAACAGGTTTTTCCCTTTATAAACAGAGTCCAGCCGCTTTGGTCTTATCTACTTGATTCTAAAATAGCTCGTCAATTTAATAGCATTCAGGTTGTTTATGCACACACAAGGCCCTTTGAAAATAACCCTTTTCATGTCGCCAAACAGGCATTTTGAAATCAACTAATTGGATGGTTGTCTGAATTCAACTCGTTGTTTTAAAAATAACCAGTTGTTCCACTGAATTACATTTTTTTACCCCCAAGCCAATTGGTGTGTAGACAGAGTTTGAGTCAATCCAGATGGCTGGCTGCATTTTTGACTTGAACTGACTGGATGTTTTGTGGTCAGATATATACAGCTCTTGATAGCCACTGGGGAAATGGAGTAGAAGGGAAGGAAGGTGTAGGAAAGTTAGGAGAAATTATATCAACAAGTTTCCATCTTGAGTGCAGTGGATCCAGACATTTTCTGCAATCAATCCTTTCTCCCCCTCAACACACACACACACACACACACACACACACACACACACACACACGCACGCGCACGCACGCACACACACACACACACACACACACGCACGCACTCACACACACGCACACACACACACACACACACACACACGCACACGCACGCACACACATACTTAAGAAAACAGAAATAAAGTAATAACATCCCTCCCAGCTGGCTCTGCTCACGGCTGTGGGTCTTTGCTTTCTTTCTTTCTCTCCATGAATTTCTTCACTGCTTGGGTGGCCTGTGGAGGGATTCTGGCAACTCAGCTTCATTGGTTTAGCTCCCTCTTAGGCTGATTTTCCTTCCCGTGGGGAGCTCTCTTTTGAGGGGCTCAGTGTTCTTCTTATTCTGTTAAAAGGCAAGGCAGGAAGAAGAGGGTTTCGGTCAGACCTGCATCCCTAAGTCCAAGCATGAGGCCTGACTCTGACCCACGGAACTGCTTTTCCTGAGGGAAGTTGAGAATTTCCTGTAGTGAATGTAACCAGTTCACTCTACCCAGGCATTACTGCTACACTTTGAGAAATTCCAAGTTTTGTATCATCTATAGTCCCCATAATTAGCTGTCAAATTCCACTGGTCTGAGGAAGGGCATTTTAGATGTTTTCAAAGGCTACTTCTTTTGGACTTATCATTTTGATTTCTTCATTTACCTCATTGAGAACGGGATGAAAGTTGAGCAGAGAGACTTTAACTTGAACCACTTACGCTTAGGTTTTTCACTTACAAGAAAGAAAAGGTTCTCTAAACATTTGAAATCGAGCTGTAAGGGAGATTTCCAAAATGTCTGCCACATTTTTCCCACAAATTCTGAGTGAATTGTATGACACAAAATCTTTTCTACTGCTCACACTGAAACTTTTCTATTCTGAACCTCGTCCTGTCTATACTGTCCCCAACTTTTTTCTCTCATCTAGTAAATTCCAAATTGGCATGTTTTTCATAACATGTCATTTTTCATGCCTGGCTCTTTAAGGTGAGTATTGATTCCCCTGAGCCTTTCAAAGACATCTGGATAACATTCAAAAGTTTTTGTCTATGACATTTAGGTTTTAAAGCATTGCCACATGGCTTTTGGGGATTATATTTTTTTAGGCTTGAGGTATGGTTCTGTCTTTATTGCTGACCTACGATGTGACCTTGGGATCATCACTTTACCTCTCTGAACTTTAGAGGCTTTTTAATCAATAATATGAAGTAATAATAATACTTGCTTTCCCAGCCTATTTCATGATGCTCTTTGGAAAGAGCAATCTGAAAAAAGTAGAAGGAAGCTCTTTGTGAAGCTAGGTGCCATGGCACACACCTGTAATTCCAGCAACTTGGGAGGCTGAAGCAGGAGGATCATAAGTTCAAGGCAGACTCAGCAACTTAGTGAGACCCTGTCTCAAAATTTAAAAGCAAAGAAAAAAAAAAAAAAGAAAAATGAAGCCCTTTGTGAGAAGATCTGAAGCCTTAAACAAATGTAAGAGATTTTGAAAGGATAACAATTTAACAGGGATTATTAAGGGATCCTGGAAACTTGGCCCTTCCTTCTCAGATCAAAAGGTTGTTTGTCAGGTCCCCAAATTGCACCATGTGTCATCATTACTTTAATCCCTGTTTGTTTTTGGATTGAAATACCCCAAAAGAGTAAATTCTAAGGAAAAAAACACACACTATGAATGAATATACTGTCTCCATTTTGAGAATCAATAATAATACTGTATTGCTCTAAAGAAAAGAAAACTTGGCAGACTTGAAAAATTCTTTTATTATTAGTGATACTATGAATGTGTTAAAGTACATCAGTAATATATGTTCTGTTTGTAGCAAGATTAAGGTGAGAAATAGAGATCTCTCTAGATTTCAAAATCATGACTGCTTCAGGTATGAATATTGCTCACAGAAAGATTCTCTGATTTTTTTCATCTAAGGGTCAAGAATTAAACTGTGTCTGTGAAAATACACAAAAGGACAATAGGCAATTCCATCTTTTATTCTTTGATCTTTCTCTTTAACTGGCTCATTTTTTCCTATCCTTGAATGGTATAGGGATATTTGATAAGCCCCAGATGGTTAGGAAGCATACAAAATACTGCTTTATATTATCATCTTGTCTAGTTGCTTGCATGTGATCAAATGACCTTTTGGCCATAGGAACAGTTACACAGAGGAAGATGAACTTTCCCTTCCATGTGTGGAATGAATAAATGTGTTCCCTTTACATGTATACTATTAGCTGAGAGATTGCCATTGTATCCAGTTGTCAAGAAATCATTGGTATTTTTCCTCTAAAGAAGAATCACTTCATTGCCTAGCATTGAACATAGAAAATGAAAGTAAATATGGTGTGATATTTCCATAAAGCAGTCAATTAGAAAATGTATGAGTATATGTGAGTATGATTGTGAAGTTTAAAACTAGGGTAGATCCGGCTGCAAGCTTGAGTTTAAAAACTTTTTTTTAGAAGTGAATTTGAGCTCCTGTAGTTACATCCAGGAAATATGAGCCATTACTAAGGCTGGGAATTGAGGGTAAGGCCAAAAATAAGGTCTGGAAATGTAATTGTAATTGGGGAGGCCAAGCGGCAGAGGTTAAGCCCTGGGAAATGGAAAGGTAAATTGGTGTCTAAGAATTCCTGGGCCTGTGGCAGGTCTCCTGCTGGACACAGGCCATGGTCAAACACTGTTTAGCCCTCCTACCCTCCACATGGGCATGTTTTAAGGAGAAAATGAAGGAAGATTGAGCTGGAGCCAAGACTATGAAGTTAAAGGAGATCCTCTGAGAGTGTATGGCCCCTTAAAATGTACCAATCTGCAAACCTTTGATAATCTGGACTCCCCAAGGCAGGCATTGTGGCAAACCCGACAATGAGCTTTCAACCAGAAATGCAGTATCTCAGTCATGCTTAATTTTTTTAAATGTTAAAATCAAATGTGGCTAAGGACCATGAGGATAAGAATTTTGCCCTCCTCACTTTATCACCAGTACTTAGA